GAATATTGACCTGCAATTAAAATGACATCAAAATTAAAGGATTATTATTTATACAGCTTTTTCTAAGATCAGCATGAATATAGGGGCCCAGAACTTACAATATGATCAATCGCCAGTTGTACATTCACCACTTCACCAAAATTACCTGTGAAAGTAACAAGATAAGACAATATTATAAAGCCTTAAAATCATGATAAATAGACAACTAGCCTGAACTGTGAACGTATATCACCGTGTTGACTATTGACAGTAGCTTATATCATGACAATGTACAATTAATAATGAAAGCATACCAAATATTTCTTTCAAATGGCCCTCATTCACATTCCTGCTAAGCTGATCAACGTGAAGCACAAGAGATTCAGGAATAGGAGAAGCTTTCCTGGAGACAGATCACAGGTAAGAACAGGAATACCGCTACATATATGATCTCCTACAGTTGTAGAACCAATGCAAGAAGAAATGAAGATTGAAAGTAGCACACTAAAAAAGCTATAGAACTCCAGATCGGAGAGGGCAAGCACCTTTAAGAAGCAAGTAACTAGCTTTCACCTTACTTAAGAGCAAGGCGCGAAAGCATACATGCCTATTTAGCCTATAGCTTCTACTTAGCAGCCCAAAGAAAGTTGCCCTTTAACACACAAGTACGCTCACGCTAGTACAAAAGTAAGTAAACCACCTTCTCATTCATGTCTCCGGACATTCTATGAAGAGGGCTTTGAACTGGTTGAGCTTCGCTCTATGCTAGCTGTTCCTATGTCTGCTCGAACAGGAGCACGTTAGCCGGTTGCGCATCTATACAGATGTGTTAAGTTCTGTGAAGATGGGATTACTCAATGCAAGTGTATTTTTTATTTGGAAATCGTCGAAGTCGGAATCCACTTAAGTATACATCTGGGGTATATGATAGTTTGCGCAAGAAGAGACGTCGGGTGACTCTCCGAGTTCCCACTCCTAATCGAAATTGTAGGAAGACTGAAATCTCTACCAGGACTTCACTTCGCTTCTAAAGTTGGGGAGACCCGGTCTCGACTTCATTGGTAGGCGGACAAGTGGAAAGACAACAAAGGAAGAAAGGAAAGGTCGAATCAAACCAAAAGACTTTTTCTTACGATCCGGATCATAGACTGCGGGAATACGAATGCTTGCTTCAAACGCATCGGGGTAAAAAGAAAGTCGATTGAATCCCTCCACCCAGCTCGAAGAAGTAGTTCTTTCTCAGAAAAAGAGCAGATGATGCCCCGGCAAGATAGGGGTTCTGAGGGGGACTGCTTTTTCTCCGGATCAGCTTTACTCACGATTCACACTCGGAAAGGTAGTCTCATAATCCAGCGAACTGAAACTCCCTAATCAAAAGGGGAAGCATTCATTTACGTTGAAGAAGGAAGAAGCCTATATTTCTCTTTTCTGAGAACCTACGAATCCAAATCTTTAATATCATCCACGGCTCGACTTACTCTAGTTGATTTGAAGCCCTGGGCTTGGCTAGGACGGAAGAGTAGACTTCAAATCGTTACAAAAAAAAGAAGATTCCACGAAGTTTATGATTCCGCTTCCGATTTGCTTGGTTTCCAGTCTACCCTGTCTCCTAATCAGAAGAAGAATCGGATTCTATTCAACAAGCGGGGAACCAATCCCATATAAGAAGGGGGGACGGAGGGAGGCAACTAAAAAAGAAGCTCTTTCTGTCATTTTCCTTGAAGAAGGGAAGGATCAGATCAAATCAATAGTAAGAAGGGAGTACGACTAGTAACCCCGGCAGAATCGAACTTAAGTAGAAGTAGGGTCAGGGGGAAGTAAGTGGAGGACAGCTACACTTAAGGATTTAGGTGAGACTATATATCACTCTTCCCGTTGAGGGAAACCTCCCATTCCAGGAAGAAGGTGTAATTGACTTGATAGTGATTCCTTTCCTTCACTTCGCTTCGCTTTGTTCGTTTGGAGAAGAATAATGAAATTCAATCTATCAAGACCCTTGC